AGGGTGCTTCACAACATAAAAAGACAATGTAAAAAGACAAAATACATAATAAAAAAGAACATAAACAAACCAATAATCCCTCCACCAGAAGACATTTAAAAGGGCATTGGATGTCAATCAGCCAAAGGCCTGGTTAAAAAGGAACGTTTCGCTTGGCACCTAAAGTTGTACAATGAAGGTGCCAGCCGAACCTCTCTGGAGAGCATTCCACGAATTGTGTCCTTGAGGAATTCCCCTGGAATCTTTGTGAATCCTCTAAGCCCCTCAGCATTGTCCACTCGGTTATGAGGTAGTGAGGGCGATCACCTTTTGATCCCTTGAAAATGACATGGAACTGAGGAAGGAGGTTGGAAAGAATTATGCTCTTCCCCACTTCCTCTTACAGCTTCGAAATATAAAATACCCAGTTGTTTTTAGGGGCCTAAAATGTTGGTAGACCCTGGCTAAGGAATGAAGACTGTAAAATGGGACAATAGAGATGCATAAAATCATGGAGAAAGCGAAAATGAATAGGTTTTTCCTGAAAAATTATTACTCAAAGAGGCATCCACGGAAGAATCCACTTGGAGAATTTAGATAGAAAATAGGAAGCAGTTTTTTGGATACTGTAGTGCAATGGAGAAATTCACTGACACAGGAAATAGTGAAGAAGTATGCATGCACGGGACACGGGTGGAGCTGTGGGTTATACCAAAGAGCCTAGGACTTGCCAATCAGAAGGTTGGCGGTTCGAATCCCTGCGATGGGGTAAGCTCCTGTTGCTCGGTCCCTGCTCCTGCCAACCTAGCAGTTCGAAAGCACGTCAAAATTCAAGTAAATAAATAGGTACCGCTCCGGCACGAAGGTAAACGGCGTTTCCGTGCACTGCTCTGGTTCGCCAGAAGTGGTTTAGTCATGCTGGCCACATGACCCAGAAGCTGTACGCCGGCTCCCTTGGCCAATAAAGCGCCACAACCCCAGAGTCAGCCACGACTAGACCTAATGGTCAGGGGTCCCTTTACCTTTACCTATGCATGCACACAAAAGCCCATACCAATAGCAAACTTGGTCTATAAGGTGCTACTGGAAGGATTTTTTTTTATTTTGTTTCAGCTGCTAACTGAGACACTTTTAAAAGGCAATCACATGGCTTTCAGGATCAGAGGCTGCATATCTCTGAATGTCAGTTGCTGGGATAAACTCTATTGCCATCAGCTTGGGTGGATCCCAGAAATGTTTGATTGGCCACTGGGGGCAACAAGAGACTGCATTGGATTAAGCTTTGAACTGAACCAGCAGCAGGACTCTTCTAATGCTCTTGTCAGCAGCAAAGTTCAGGCCAAACTCTCACTCACCACGTGACCCATGTCAAACTTTGGAGCAGAAACTTTGTTTCCTCCCAAACATGTTTATCTCCAACTCTGCTCCTGGCCCTCAGGCCACACAGAGACTTCAGGTTGTTGCAGAGATAAACTTCCTTCCCCTTATAATTATCAACATCATAGTGATTTATTCTGCGTTGTTCCTGAGGGAAAAGTTGTTGGCCAGAAGATCACCTGTGTCAGAGACAGACTGAGTCATGATTGAGAGTAAGGGGGGTGGGATACATCTGTTTGAGGTTTAATGGCTCTGAAGGTATAGCTGAGCACTACCCATATTGGATAAATAAGAGTTTTTTTGGCTTCTTCTGATGTAGCTGGCTATGGGGAAGAGAGGAACACTCACACGAGAGGTGTAGCGGTCAGTCAGAATGAGATCCCAGATGCTGATGCTGCTCATTTTGCTTGAATCCTGTATAAACCTGAAGGCAAAATGCCCCTTGAATCCAATCCGGGAAGGAATCAAAGCACAGAATTATTTCCAAACTGGCGACTTCCTCATTGGCGGGATAATATCTCCAACTTTGATTGCTCTACAACATCCATACATCTTTTCGCAGCCCCCATTAACCAGGTTTAAGGATGAGTAAGTAATTATATGCAGAAGGATGTCACGTTTTTCTACTGCACCCCAATGGCTCCTGTTTACTAGGGAAATAGTCTCCATTTTAGGGGTGAGGACTCTGTGGTCTTTTAGATGTTGCAGGACTGCAGCTCCCATCACCCCTGATCACTGGCCATGCTGGCAGGGGCTGAAGGGAACTTGAGTTTTGCAGCAGCTAGTGGGTTGCATGTTCCCAGACGTGCTCTATTTTTATCTTCCGTGCTGCTGTGTTGCTTGCTGAAGAACACAAGTGCATAAATGAACCTGATTAGGCATCAAAATGATTCACTGAATGATCACACCTGTATTCATGAGATGAGTGGGGCACTGGAGAAAATCCTACTTTGTGTTCCTGGTATGCAGGTGTATGGGAAATAGCACTTTCTGAACACTTGACCCAATGCGGCAGAGTTTTTAATGGACATGTAAATGAAGCCGAATTTTTAAGCATGTGCTTGTTCTGTACAGATCACATTAAGAAGTCAGCACAGTTATTGCAACACCCTGTAACACATGTATCTCTATGGAGAGGACTAATTAACCAGTGAGCCTATTATGTATGTACCTTAAGGTTACTTCCAATAATATATACTCTGAGTGTTGTGTTTGTTGTTCATGTTAAGTTTATAGTGTTACTGTTGAAAACCAAAAGAAAACATATTTAAACAGACAAAACAGAGGTCTTTTATGCTGATATTTGGGAGGGCATTTGATTCCATCCCTTCCCTGTCTGAAATAGCCTCTCAGAAGATATCAGCAGAATTAGTGTCTGCGACTGCCATTGCAATGAGATTGAACAGTTCCCAGAGGGAGAAATATGAATGACAAGGAAGCTATCCTTCTGGATGAAATGTTAGTTTAGGTGGACATTATCTCAAACTGGAACTACACAAGAAGCCTCCCTTGATGCAGAATGAGACACGCAATTGCAAACTTAGCCAAGTTCAGTGCTTCTTGGGAATTAATTTGGCTCCAGGAACTTTTTTCTCTGCCCCCTCCCCCAGCAGCAATCCCCATTCCTAAGATTTTCCCCTCACTGCTGTGCCAGACACCTGAATTCACTTGCACAGGAGAGACTGAAGAAGATACACCCTTCTGATGGTTTGTTTCGCTGGAAGACTGGTTGGAACTGGCCTTTATTAAAGAACAGCCCAATCCTAATCATGCCTATTGAAAATAAGCCATACTAATCAAATAGAGCTTCTAAACAGACTTAGCTCTCCATTGCAGTTGGCTCTTTATGCAACTCCTTTGAAGCAGCCAATACGAGCCTTAGCAGCCATGTCCCCATATTTCTCACACATACGGAACAAAGAATGTTTTCTTCATTTTCCTTCTTTGAAGATGTGTGCTTCTCCTCTTGAGAAATTCTTATATTTTAATTCTTAGGTGGCAAATGGATTTTCATCTTGTGAGAAGAATATGTCTCTTCTCACCCTTCAAACAAACATACAGACTAGGGTCCCCATATAGTGACAAGTGAAAATCTAGACAAAAAAAATTATTGGCAAAGTTTTTGAGTTATTTTAAAGGAAATTCCAGTGATTTCCACCCGCACACTGTTTCCAACTGCTATCTTCCTGCTATGTCTGTATGGCAGCCCTAATGCAGTCCATGATTTAGCGAATCAAATATTATTTATTTTCAACAAGTGGTGAATGGTTTGACACTTTTTATTTGATTGATTTCTTACAGATTGCCATATAGGTTCTACTGGCATATCTTGTCCTTCTTGTTCACCATCCAAGAGATCAACCAGAATCCCAGGCTCTTACCCAACATCACCCTGGGCTTCAGCCTCTATGAGAACTATTACAATGCAAGGATCACTTCTGATGCCATGCTAGACCTGCTTGCAGGTGGGGAAAGCAATATTCCAAACTATCGCTGTGGAAAATGGAATAATATCTTGGCTGTTCTTGAAGGAGCCAATTCCATCATCTCCAAAGTGATTTCAACCACGACAGGCATGTACAAAATCCCACAGGTATGAAGGGTGGGGCATGGAGGGACACAAAAGAGGTTCAGCAGGAATATAAATTCTCATTATTGTCAGCAAAAAGAGGCACCAAAGAGGGAGAAAATCCTGAGCTATGTTAAGCTAGATAGCTCAGTTGGTTGGAGTGTGGTGCTGCCAACGTCAAGGTTGCAGGACAAGATGAACCTCAGGGTCACTTCCAGCTCTACAATTCTATGATTCTTCCCTGCTAGGGAAGCTTTTAATGTTTAATAGGTTATTGTATTTTAGTGTTCTGTTGGAAACCGCCCAGAGTGGCTGGGGAAACGCAGCCAGATGGGCGGGGTATAAATAATAAATTATTATTATTATTAAAACGGAGACTTTGTTAGGGTTGCAGCCTCCCGAAGTTTCCAAATAAAACTATCAGCCCCAGTCAGCACAATATTTGTTAGGTATTAAATATTTCAGGCTATTCCTGTACTTTCCTCTGAAAATAAAACACTGTAGTTTTCTTCCAGATCAGTTATGGCTTTGTATCTGGGGTTGTTGATGAGAACACCAAAGTCCCTTTTGTCTACCGTACGGTCCCCAATGAAGAAGTTCAGTACCTGGCGATTGTAAAGTTCCTCCAGCATTTCGGATGGACGTGGATCGGCCTCTTTGCTCCAGACAGTGAGAATGGAGAAAGGTTATTGAGTGCCTTGACATCTCTGATGGCCAGCAATGGAATTTGTGTTGCCTTTTCATTAACAATAGCAGAAAAGAATGAACCTAAGATACTGACACAAAGTGAATTAATTACCCTACGGAGACAGACCAATGTATTCCTTTACTATGTAAACGTTCATACAGCACTGCGTGTCATCATGCAACTGCAAGAAGAACACGAGAAACAAATTGGGCCAAAAGTATGGCTCACAACAGCTTTTCAAGACCTTGACATAAATTTGTTTTTCGGTCCCAAGAACTTGAAGTATATCCATGGTTCATTCTCCTTTGTAATGAAGACCAAAATAAGGAGCAAACGTAAATCAGAGTCCTATCTTTTGCGGCAAAAGGCATTTAGTTGTTCATACTCAAAGCACGTCCTCGCTGTGAGAGGTTGGACAAGATGCAGAGATGTGGTGAATCCGGAGGTGCCGTCTGAAGAGGAGCTGCAGACTGTTCTGTCTCAAGACAGCCACAGAACATACTTCAGTGTCCAAATCATGGCACAAGCTTTAAATGTTGCCTGTTCATCTAGATCAAAGCAGATGTTGATGGCGGGTGGAGGAGACCAGTTGGCATGTCAAAGGCTACAGCCATGGCAGGTATTTCCTTTCCCTTTCTAGAAATCAAACTTCTTTCCACCAACTCTACAATATTCATTCTCATTGATTTAGGCACGAATGCAACAGTGAGGAAAAGGTTTTTGTTTTATTTATTTAGATTTAGATTATTTTTTTAGGCTCCTGCTGGAAAATATATATACAATGTGTATTTCATAAAATATCAAGATGGTCTACTGCAATAAAAAACATACGACCATATAATAAAACCAAAAGAAGCCAAAACAAATTAAAAGCAGACGTCCCTCCACATGGAGGGTGTCTGTTTAGTCTTGCCAGTAGGAGAAGTTGTGGCACAACAGGAGTTTTGAGTTCCAAGGAAGCAGGGATGAGGCATCTAAAATGCTTTCTAAGATCTGGTGTTTAGTCCTCTGTAGATTCCGACGAGGCCAGGTATGCCAGGACTTAGGAGCTCAAAGGGAGAAGGGATGAGATGTCCAAAATGATTTGAAATGCTGGTGTTTTCCCTGTCATTCCAGCTTCACCCTTTCTTAAGAGAAACCCGGTTGTTGAACACTTCCATGGGCAGACTGTATTTGGGTGAGAATGGGGAGCTGCCAATCATGTTTGATATTGAGAATTGGGTGGTGCTTCCAAATGAGTCTTGTGTTAGAGTGAAAATTGGGAGTATAGAGAGAGAGGCATCCACTGACTTCAAGCTCACCATTAACCCAGAAGCTATTGTGTGGCCCAAGTGGTTCAACCAGGTAAGAGCCCCTTTATTCCACATGATACACATGAAGATCTAGTAATCTGTTGAATATTTCCAAGAGGAATTCAAGTATAATCTTTTGGAAGTTTGGCTGATGCTTTCATTATAATTAATTAAGTGAATTATTAAATGTGTATAATGCTCTTCATGTGCAGATACATACACACATGTATGTATGTATGTATGTATGTTTGTATGCGTGTAATTTTTTAATTTATTTATTAATATTATACTGTGCTTCATTCCAGTTGTTCAAAGACCTATGTACTGATACCTTTTTCAGTACGTTTCCGAGCACAATTCAAAGTGTTGGTGCTGACCTTCAAAGCCCTAAACGGCCTCAGCACATTATATCTGAATAAGCGTCTCCACCCCCATTGTTCAGGTCCAGCTCCGCGGGCCTTCTGGCGGTTCCCTCCCTGCAAGAAGTGAGGTTACAGGGAACAAGGCAGAGGGCCTTCTCAGTAGTGGTGCCTGCCCCGTGGAACGCCCTCCCATCAGATGTTAAGGAAATAAACAACTACTTGACTTTTAGAAGACATCTGAAGGCAGCCCTGTTTAGGGAAGATCTTAATGATTGATGTTTTTCTAATCTTTTGTTGGAAGCTGCCCAGCACAGCTGGGGAAACCCAGCCAGATGGGGTATAAATAAATTATTATTGTTACAAAAGTAAACACAGTAGGGGGGTTTCCGTTCTACATCAAGCATAGGAGCCAATTCCTAGGAACTTTGGGGGCTTTGGCCCCCACAATAAAATATTTGAGGGAGCTGGGACCCCATAAAGTTGATGGGCATCGATTATGTGTTGTGCGGCTTATCTGGGCCCCCACAATATTTTATTCAAGTTGGCACCCCTGACATCAAGGGTGTTTTATATATATATAATTTTTATTAAATTTCCATTTACCAAACCAATCATATCATATCATATTAATTATTCCAAATTATATCAACACATATCACAAAGTCCAAATATTAAACAAAATTTTAATTTTTTTGTGGGGGGTACCCATGCTTTGAGTTCGGTAGGAGTCCAATCATCTTTATATTTCTGCTGCTTTGATGTCCACAGTCCCATCTTCTCATCTCCTTGTCATTATCCTTTTTCTTCTTAATAACCTCTGAATTTTCTCCACCAGTGAGTTAAAAGAAACAGCCTTGTTATATTTCTGTGTGAACTTTGTAATGCTTTCCCGTAATTCATCTCACATAAATCCAAGATTCCAAGAGTCTTGGCAGTCGCCATTTTAGTCAATTCCGATGAAATACAGTCTTGGCGTCCGCTCCTTAATTTTCCCAGACCTTCTGCACCATAAATCAGTCTTTCCAGAAGGGTTATTGCCCTTTCAAATTTACGATCCAAACCTGATAGCAGAACAGTGGCTCGCCCTCCCTAAGACTGAAAATCGTGCATCAAGGTCTGCCTCTTAATGGCGGATCACTTTGTAACTACGCCACAAGAAAGCCTCCCTTCTTTCCAGATCTTTCACAGAGTAAATCCTTTTATTAGCATTTTTGTTTCCATACAGTCTATTTTTCATTCTCACTGGCAATCAATCATTGCGGCGGTTCTTCTAAGGGGGGAGGGGGTTGTTAGGTAAATCATACTAAAAAAAAGAAAAGAAAGAACGTTCCCCCCCTTTCCGTTCCGTTCAACATACCGGCATGGCTGTGCTTCTTTGATGTAGTATTTTGTTCATTCCGTCCCATCGCTCTGTCTTCTCCGTGGTAAATTTATTTAGCTGATAATACACTCCTGACCTCGCTCGAAACATGTGCATTTACTTCTCCAATTTTTTTTATTATCTTAAGCAACGCAGCTAGTTTCGCTCCTGAAAGTAGCGTCCAGGAGCTCCAGAACTCACACAAGTGCTTTCCGCTCAGTGCCCCCACCCCTCCTTTTTTCAAACTTGGGGGTGATTTATGGACAACCACGGGCGAGACAGCATCTTCCCACCCCCTGGGAAGATGAGGGAGACTGATATACTCCCCATAATCAGTCTCTAATTATCTCGTGCGAGCCGGATAGATGGTATTGTCGGCCATCTTCCAAGGCGCCCCTAGCGGGCCCCCCTGCTGAGTGACTTCAAGGGTGCTTTCTTGTGGGACTGGAGACCCTGCTGGGTTCTTTCCAGACTCTCTGAGTGAGTTCCATATGCACAAATATTGCTGACACTTCCTCTTTAATGTGCCATCTTTTCTTTATGGCTAGACTGTGCCTCACGCCAGGTGTACCAAAAGGTGTCGCCCAGGATATGCCAAGGTGGTTCAAGAAGACAAGCCGGTTTGCTGCTACGCTTGTGTTCCGTGTGGGGAAGGGACCATATCTACACAGGAAGGTGGGTGACACCACAGGAGATGGAATTTGTTGGGAGAATATGAATAGGGCAACATATCAGTCGGAAACTTTCTGTGAAGATTCTAAAGACATATTTGGATGCATTTTTAACCCCCTTCCAGGAAGTAATTTGAAAGAAATGACTTGCAGGAAACGATCTCTGGGATGCCAGTTGGGTTCAGCCTGCCCTGCCCATAAGGCACAGCTTTGGCTATTTTATACCAAGCCTTCTAGGATCAGAGAACCAGAACCACCCTCACAAAAGGAAATTAAAAATGTCTTCAAAATAAACGAGAAATAGTGAAAATCGTAAATATTTATTTAAAAGAGAGAAAGCATGATGTACAATCAAAAAAATTAGGTGAACATTCCATTCCATTGCATTGTAGAACAATAAAAAATTATGGAGTTTCAGCAGGAAGTTATTGGATATCCCAGACAAGGAGTTTGAGAACAGCTGTAGCAGCTTGGAAGAGAGGAGATCAAGAAATTAAAAATAAATAAATCATAAGTTGTGTGTCCTTGTTTCTCAGTTTGATCCTTTTACATGGTTTGCATGTTTTGTGGTATTTTATTCATTGTGACTTACTGTTTTTTATTGATTACAGATTAGTAATTCTTTATTGTACATGATAAGTGATAGCTGTTTATTATTTGCGGACACTTTATTAAATTTTACTGTTTACTATTCCTTAGTATTATTATTGAATAGTATTGAATTTTGCTAAATTTGATATGTTGTTTATTTTAAAGTTATGCTTTTATTATGACTTTTTGTTTGTGTATATTACGCCTCTGATCTTTGCTGTCTATTTTGTTGTTTCTTCAGCTTGTAACCCTCCTTCTGCATAGCAATATAGAAAGGCAGTATACAAATTAAAAGTGAAATGAAATATGGAAATGAAGCGGTGTTACTGCCCGAAAACTATCGCATAAGGAAATGCACCAAAAAAGCTTTTATTTCTTACAATACATTCTCATTTTCTGATATCTCCCATATGAGTGCATTTCTCGACATGTAATAGAATATGTCTGTAAGCAAAGCCAAAGCCATTCCTTTTCTCCTCCTCAGATGCAGAGCGTTGCACCAAATGTCCAGAAGAACAATATCCAAACAAGGACCGAGATCACTGCATTCCGAGGATTATCACCTTCCTATCATATAAAGAATATTTGGGGATTATCCTGACTTCTTTGGCTCTCTTCCTGTCCTTAACCACAGGCTTTGTTGTAGGGATCTTCATTAAATACAAGGAAACTCCCATAGTCAAAGCCAACAACAGGGACCTCTCCTACATCCTCCTTGTCTCCCTCCTGCTGTCCTTCTTGTCCTCTTTCCTCTTCATTGGCCGTCCCAGGAAAGTCACCTGCCTCCTTCGACAAACGGCCTTCAGCACCATCTTCTCAGTTGCTGTATCTTCTTTGCTGTCCAAAACCATCATGGTGGTGCTGGCCTTCCTGGCCACAAAGCCAGGGAACAAGGTGAGGAGATGGTTAGGGAAAAGTCTGGCCAACTCCATTGTCATTTCCTGCTCCAGTGTCCAAATGGTCATTTGCATCATTTGGCTGTGTATCTCTCCCCCATTCCCAGACTCTGACAAGCATTCCCAGCCCGGAGAGATCACCCTGCAATGCAATGAAGGGTCTGTTGCCATGTTTTATGCTGCCCTGGGTTACATGGGCTTCCTGGCTGCCATCTGTTTCACGGTGGCTTTCCTGGCCAGGAAGCTGCCTGGGGCCTTCAATGAAGCCAAGCTGATCACCTTCAGCATGCTGGTCTTCTGCAGCGTTTGGGTCTCCTTTGTGCCCACCTACCTGAGCACAAAGGGAAAATACATGGTAGCTGTGCAGATCTTCTCTATCTTGGCTTCTAGTGCTGGGCTTCTGGGCTGCATCTTCATTCCCAAATGCTACATTCTTGTGCTGAGGCCTGATCTGAACACAAAGGAACACCTGGCCACAAAACCTAAAGTTGTTGCCTGATTCTTAACACATTTATAACTGTTTTCTACCATAGTAGTAATGAAACACACAGAGTTGCCTTGGGAAGGAATGTATCTCCTTAGATAAAGTTTGCTCTTCATTTTTCATTCATCTTTAATTATGAAAGGGAATCATTGAATCACATCCCTGGAGAGTTTCTGGACATACGACTTTTAGGGATATCCCTACCTGTAGAGTTACACGGAGTGCAGCCTCCCTCTTCATACATAATTATCCTTCTCTACCATATCCAGTTTGTACTTTGACATGACCCAACTTCCTTTCTTCCTGAGTTCATAACCTAAGCCTACATAATAACGTAGTGTAACTTGAAATTCTGCTTCTAGTATTAAAAACAGCAACTGAAAAACAGAATCTCACTTGAGTGTATTAATGCTTAAGGGAACCACCAGAAGACCCTTGGAGCTGGACCTAAGTATTTGGTCTGGACGATGGGTGTGGAGACGCTTCTTTGGATATACAGGGCCAATGTCATTCAGGGTTTTCAAGGTCGGCATCAGCCAATGAATGTGACAGCTGTCTGTTTGGTGGGAGTGAGAGGGGCACCACGATAGCTGGAGCCAGAAACAATGATGGAGAAGAACCACCACTTGTAAGTAAGAAGGCAGATGAGTGGTGGTGGCATGAAGGCAGGTTGAGATTGGTGGGGTAGTCCCCACTCACCCCCATGGACCAGATGTCTCACTTATTTGCCCTGAGCTTCTGGACAAGGGCAGGATGCATCCTTTTTGTCTCCCTCTCTTATATAGCACCAGCACTCATAGACATCCAATGAATCTGAAGGTTGGGAGATTGAGAGCAAACAAAACATTGAATCATGCAGTACATAGTTACTTCCCCCAAATGCCAGTGGCTGGTGACCAGTGCCTGGCAAGGCCCATTGCTTTCATGCCCTGCTTGTGAGCTTCTCAGCAATGTCTGATTGGCCACTGTGTTGCAGGTCTAGATGGGAGTTTGGGCTAACCCAGCAGGGCTGTTCTCAGCAAAGTTCAAGCCAAACTAATCCCCAAAATGCAAGTGAATCATGTTGCAGTGATTTGGTGTAAACATATTTTTCCAGCTCTGTCCCTGCCCCTTGAATTATGTAGAGATCCTGGGAAATTTCTTCCCGTTATAATTATAAAAATGATAGTGGTTTAATCTTCCCAAAGCTCAAGAGAGAGCTCTGGCAATTGCCCAAACATCAGAAGCCAAGGAAGCCTGAGGTTATACATATCACACTGTGCTGGAGGGTGTTAACTTCTTCTGATCACCTGGCTGTGGGGGAGAAAGGAGAGGTCAAAATGGAGGTGTAGGAGGCCAAGCCAGAAGGACCTCCCTGCTGCGGCTTTTGCTACCGCCTCTGCTTCTAATGCCCCATCAAGTCTGGGGGAAGTTGAAGGCAAAGTGCTCCTTAAATTTGATGAGGGAAGAAAATGAAGCGCAGAGTTACTCCCGGCCTGGAGACTTCCTCATTAGCGGAGAGCCAGTGTGGTGTAGTGGTTAAGAGCGGTAGTCACGTAATCTAGGTAACCGGGTTCGCGTCTCCGCTCCTCCACATGCAGCTGCTGGGCGACCTTGGGCCAGTCACGCTTCTTTGAAGTCTCTCAGCCCCACTCACCTCACAGAGTGTTTGTTGTGGGGGAGGAAGGGAAAGGAGATTGTTAGCCGCTTTGAGACTCCTGAAGGGGAGTGAAAGGCGGGATATCAAATCCAAACTCTTCTTCTTCTTCATCATCATATCTCCAAGAAGCTTTGCTGAGCAACTTCCATATAACCTTTCCCAGCCCCCAGTAACCAAGCTTAAAGTGTAAATAATTAAATACATCATGGATGTCATGCTTCTTGACAACCACTTCAATAGTTCTCTTTAACAGGGAAATAGTTCTTATTTCAGGGATAGGGAGACAGTGCAGTACAATATAATAGACAAGTTATCAAAGTGAGTCTACTACGAGTATTACATTTAAGAAACACAGAACTGTTTGCTTGAACAACTTAAGGTATCACAAGAAATCATATTTAAATATCAAAACATGTAAAGGAATTATCTTTTTTTTAAAAAAAGTTATTTATTAAAGTTTTTAAAGTATAACAGTGAAAATGCAAAATAAAAAAATAAAAAGAACAAAATACAAAATGCAACATAAAAACAGTTTAAAAAATGAATAATTTTCCATAACATATCTTCCTTACGCTTATTTCCCCGGACCTCCTCATACCTCCCTACTTTGTATTCCACTTCAATTTGTTAGTTCAGCAAATCCTTACCATTAAGCTTTTACCCATTTATAAACCTTTTTTTCGTATCTCCTAAAGCGTTACAGCTGGAAACCACCTAGTTTCTATCCAACATCCTTCTAACATTCATTAATTTTACAATATTTCTTTAAATAGTCTTTAAATTTCTTCCAATCTTCTTTCACCAACTCTTCTCCCTGGTCTCGGATTCTGCCAGTCATTTCTGCCAATTCCATGTAGTCAATCACCTGTGTCTTCCAATACTTTGCGATGAGTATTCTTGCTGCTGTTGTAGCATACATAAAAAAAGTTCTGTCCTTCTTTGGCACCAATTGGCCAACAATGCCCAGGAGAAAGGCCTCTGGTTTCTTCAGGAAGGTATATTTAAATACCTTTTTCAGTTCATTATATATCATTTCCCAGAAAGCCTTAATCTTTGGGCACGTCCACCAAAGGTGAAAGAATGTACCTTCAGTTTCTTTACATTTCCAGCATTTATTATCGGGCAAATGATAGATTTTTGCAAGCTTGACTGGGGTCATGTACCACCTGTATATCATTTTCATAATATTCTCTCTTAAGGCATTACATGCCGTAAACTTCATACCTGTGGTCCATAACTGTTCCCAGTCAGCAAACATAATATTATGTCCAACATCTTGTGCCCATTTAATCATAGCAGATTTCACCGTTTCATCCTGAGTATTCCATTTCAACAGCAAGTTATACATTCTTGACAGATTCTTAGTTTTGTAAAGGAATTACCAAAAGGTCCACATAAAGAGGCATACAGCAAAAGCTGCACAATGCGAAACGCTCTCCCCAGAGAGGCTCGCCTGGTGCCATCATTACATATCTTTAGTCACCAGGCAACAAAAGTCGTCTTTCATAAGGCGTCTGACTTTTAATTATTAGGGTCTATTTAAGTGGGTGGGGTGGTCCAATCTAGCTTTTAAAAGTAGATTTTATTTTTTTAATGCAGGTTTTAAGGTCTGTTTTTGTTTCTTTGTTTCATATGATCGTACGTTGCTTTGAGTTGCTGTGGAAAAGACGACAAATCGATTTAATAAATAATAATGCCAGAGACACTGATTTGGGGAGGTCGTTCCCTCTCAGCTTCATCCTATGTAACAAGGATGTTTTGGTGACAAAAAGTGAGATAAACCATGTGCACTACATCTGTCTACATCTGCGGGATACAAATGTAAGCATTAAATAGTGAAATGGACGGACAAATCTTTGCCTCTCCTTCCCTACTACATAGGTTTATTCTGCTACTTCATTTCCCTCCAAAATGTAATAGAACACTGATATTTATGGATGTAAGTGATGCTGAAGCCACTTTTCTTATCCTCAGATGCAGATCATTGCCACAAATGTCCAGAAGATGAATATTCAAACAAGCACCAGAATCAATGTATTCCTAAGATCATCATCTTCCTGGTTTATGAAAAATATTTGGGGATAATCTTAGCTTCTATTACGCTATTCTTGTCTTTGACAACAGGAATCATATTAGGGATCTTCATTAAATGTAAAGAAACTCCAATAGCCAAAGCCAAAAACCGGGACCTCTCCTATATCCTCCTCATCTCCCTCCTGCTTTCCTTTTTGTCCTCCTTCCTCTTCATTGGAAGGCCAAGGAAAGTGACCTGCCTTCTCGAACAAATGGTCTTCATCATCATCTTCTCGGTTGCCATTTCTTCTGTGTTGGCAAAAACCATCATGGTGGTGCTGGCCTTCCTGGCCACAAAGCCAGGGAACAGGGTGAAAAGATGGCTGTGGAAGAGTCTGGCCAACTCCATTGTCGTTTCCTGTTCCAGTGTCCAAGTTGTCATCTGCACCATTTGGCTGGGCATCTCTCCCCCATTCCCAGACTCTGACAAACACTCCCAGGCTGGAGAGATCACCCTGCAATGCAATGTAGGGTCTGTTGCCATGTTTTATGGTTCCCTTAGCTACATGGGCTTCCTGTCTACCATCTGCTTCATGGTGGCTTTCCTGGCCAGGAAGCTGCCTGGGGCCTTCAGTGAAGCCAAGCCGATCACCTTCAGCATGTTAGTCTTCTGCAGCGTTTGGGTCTCCTTTGTGCCCACCTATCTGAGCACAAATTGGAAATACATGGTAGCCGTGCAGATCTTCTCTATCTTGGCTTCTAGTGCTGGACTCCTGGGCTGCATCTTCATGCCCAAGTGCTACATTTTTATACTGAGGCCTGACCTAAATACAAAGGAATACCTGACAATAAAAAACTAAAGGCATCTGATCTTGAGTACTATGTATAGGGACAGATTCTGCCTACAACAGAATCTGAAGCAGAACCAGTTTTGTCTCCAGAGGAGGAGGGGTGTATCTGAGAAGCAGAGCTGGTTCCACCCAAGTTCTATGCCCAACATCTCCAGTTTAAAGCATGAAGAAGCGGGACCAGGAAATGCCACTTTCATTCTGAGATCCTGCCAGTTAGAGGAGATAATACTTAGCTGGATGGGCCGGTGGGCTGCATACACATCAAACGTTTGAGACACAGCATGTGACCCCCCCCCCAATGAATACTAGGAGCTGTAGATTACCCCCCACAGAGCTACAGCTCCCAGTACTCTTAACAAACTACACACTTTTCTTACAGGGATGCTCTCATGTTCTTCACTCGAGTAGGACTCGAGTAGGACTCTGGCAGAGACACATGTCTGACTGGCATGTTCTCTCCCTCCTGGTCTTTCGTTTGGGAGCTTCAAAAGCTTTCTTCAGCCCGAACATCA